CACACACAAACCATGTTTACACTGCAGGCCATCATCTCCCTTTGCTCCAAAGGGTTTTTTTTTAAGGTTTTTTTTCTCCTTCAGAGTCATTCACAAATACACATTCTTATAATTGCTATTAACATTTATCTGTTCATCATTAATCTCTATCGTTATTTTCTTAAAATATATATAGAATACAGTTTGGATCACTTTCTTGCCACCCCGTGTCTCCATCTTATTTTGCAACAACCTTGTTCCTTCCATCTCACCAACCTCCGTTCTCTGCCTTCTTCTTTCCTCCTCTCCTTCCTCCCTTCTTCTTCCCCTCTCTTTCTCCCACTCCTCCTCTCTTCACCTCCTTCTTGCCCTCTCTCCTACTCTTAATTCCCCTCCCTTACTTCCTCTGCTTTACCCTTTCTTCCTTTCCCTCCTCATCCTCCCTTTCTTCTTCCCTTCTTTTCCCCCACTCCTCTCTTCTCCTTCTTCCCCTCTCTCCTACTTCTCCTCCCTTACTTCCTCTGCTTCTACCCTTTCTTCCTTTACCTCCTCGTCCTCTCTCCTTTCTTCTTCCCCTTTCCCCCACTCCTCTCTTCTCCTCCTCCTTACCTTCTCCTACTCTTAATTCCCCTCCCTTACTTCCTCTGTTTTACCCTTTCTTCCTTTCCCCTCATCCTCCCTCCTTTCTTCTTCCCTTCTTTCCCCCCACTCCTCCTCCTTCTTCCCCTCTCTCCTCCTACTTCCCCTCCTTTACTTCCTCTGCTTTTACCCTTTCTTCCTTTCCCTCCTCGTCCTTCTTCCTTTCCGTTGTTGCCCTTGCTTATTTACTTTCTCTGTTGGGTTCTCGGGGCGGCATTTCAGCAATCCCGACTTTATAATTGTCATACAAAATAATTTTCTCTGTTCCATTTTATTTCTAATAGTAATTCCACTTGCTCACAAAGGCTTTTTAACTAACCCAGGTGAAGGTGAGCAGCATTTCTATTTATTAAGTCATTTTTTTTAACCACTCCACAGATATACCAGGCTGTAGATAGTTCCACTTCTGGGATCTCAACGCCCCCCCCCCCCCNTTATCTTTGTGTTTTCTTCAAATAAATAAAGAATTCAATAAAATCAATTATTCCTGGAGGGTAAAAGTCACCAAGCCAACCTCAATGAATCTTGAGATGGTTGAACTCTGTTCAGGACAGCTGTGTAATGGTGAGGGAGAAGGAGAAGGAGGTAGCAACTGCATTTTTAGAGTCAAGGATGGTCAGTGGGAAGAATGATAATAAAACAAGTTGACAATCTGATTTAAGTGACAGAGTGCAGGAGTGATGGCAATCCTATGATCTGTATAGCTTTTAAACACTTGCCCTTTTCATTTGTAGTCAATTGCAGCAGCTTGCCTGAGAATCCACAGATAGGTGGGAGGGGGCACCTGTTTGATGTCCATTACATAAATTGGATTTTTTAAGACAACATCATGGAACATGTGATACCATCTTAGCTTGTACTAGACTCCTATGATTGATAAACTTGGTGTAACAAAAATAGAACTCAGGAGTTTCAACCTAAAGAAATCTTGCCTGTCTACCTGCTAGAATCATCATACAGGGAAGGTAGCTTACTGGGACAGCTGGAAATCTTGATTCAAATGGCAAAGTTAAAGGAGATGGAAATGGTCAGTTCTGCCACCCCAAATAAAAAAGAACTACTGGAGTTAGCAGTAGGTCCCTTCCCACACTTTCAGCATCTTATTTTTTAAAACCATTTTCGATGCTACTTGTTTCCCTGAAAACTAGCCATATCCCAAAAATAAGCCCTAGCATGTGCACCTAATATAAACCCTACTCCCAAAATAAGCCCTATTTAAGAGCTTGCACAGTTGCCCACCTGCCCATTCTGTTTGGTTGTTCACAGTGTCAGGGTGGTGGTGGAGCTGCCCCATGTGCCAGCTTACCTCAGGGCCCCCACAGCCAGGCCATCCACACCTGACACCTGCCTCACAATGGCAGCACCAACAGCCATGTGCAGCAGGAGCCCACATGGCCACCAGTCTACTTCTGCTTGCTCACGTCACAGCCAAGCAAGAGGCTGAGCAGTGTGATGGTGCTGCAGCCATGAGGTGAGGCATGTGGGGTGTGGGTCAGCTGGCTGCAGGGGCCCTGAGTTAAGTCAGTGGGAGGCACATGGGGCAACTCCACCCCACATGCTTTGTGGTGGCAGTGGTGTACTGCGCTACATCCTGCCCTGCCGTGAGCAAACAGAAGTGGACCTCCCATACATGGAAAAAAAATAAGACACCCCCTGAAAATAACAATACTTATTTTGGGGCCTAAAGGAAAATAAGACCGGATCTTATTTTCAGGGAAACATGGGAAGTCTTTACTATTCGGCATATAAGCTCATTAAATTACGAATTACGAATTACTATTCAACTTCCTTTTCCTAATCTAAACATGCTTCGCTTTCAAGTTAAGTGATTAGTTTGAGTGTTGTCAGAATTAACATTGGAAATGTAAAGCATATCCTAGTGCCCTTACCTGCCTTAGATATCAACAAAGGACTTAGCTGGACCATTGCTAGAGGATTATATGCAGGTGTTGTGCCATGAATGTGTTGATTTTTTTAAAAAAAGAATCCCTCTGAACAGGCTCTTTTTCTCCATGCAGCCCTTATTTGAGAAACACACCGAAGGCATCAAAGGGAAGCAAGAATCTGTTCCACAGATGGATGGTTAGCATTGAACAAATTCTAAGGATTCTGTGCTACTGATCCAAATGCAGTCAGCACTCCCTATGGAAAAGGAACAGCTGCTAAACCAACTAAAATATTTAGTGCATTCCTGATTATGGCAGGATTGAAATAGGGGAGTTAGTTAGGAAGGGTAAAATCTGCCTTTCCTGCCTTCTAAGACCTGCCAGAATCTTGTACTGGAGCCTACATAAAGATTTTGGTTTCCTCTGGGGAGATGTGTGGGGTGTGTGTCAGAATCTAATTGCTACTCAAGGAGAGGCTTTCTATATGACCAAGGGAGCATATGTGTGCGCGAGTGAGATATGTGCGTATGTGTCTTTCCCCACCTGGCTATTACTTACTCATTTTGGTGTTTTGGTCCTTGGGAAAAGTATAACAAAGGAAATGCACACATAAAATTAGCAAGAATTAGACTTTAATTTTTTTAAAAAAATATACAGTGAGGAACAAGTTCATTCTTTCGTTATGATCTTCATGCTGAAGAGTCCTATCCTGAGCCTGTTTGTCACTGATAATGATAGTGTATAAAAACTGCATGTTTTTATGTCTCAGTGTTTCCAATGTTGTGACCATATTTTTGGTATGGGAAATTATACAAGATTGCTGTTTCCTGATCTGCAGTTCAGAAATAATCATGATAGTGTTGATCAGCCTAGCACCTTAGAAATGTATCTGGCTACAACACCTGTCATACCAGACAACAAGCCATGATGGTAGTTGTGGTCCAATAGATCTGGAGAAAATCAGGAGGGAAGATATTCATCAAAACATTGAATAATTTTTGATCTATGAAAAACTAAATATTTTATTGGACTGCATCTTTTAAAATATTGGGATTTTTATATAAGCAATCCATGGGAGATAGGTACCCCCTTAGATAAGATCTATTACTTTTATCACCCAGGAAATGCAACTTCTGAGAGAATTATGTGAAATATGCATGCATTATCTAATGTTTGTGCAGTCCTATATATTTGCCTACTCAGAAGTACTGTCCCACTGAATTCAGTGAAATTTGCTTCAAGTGAAATTTAGATTACAGCCTAAAATGCCTTTTCTTCTGAATGTTTATTCAAATACAATTTGTTCATACAAATTTGATTCAATTAAAATTCATATAAATAATTAACCATGATTTCTTTGTTCAAGTGACAGAACTAATTTTATTGTTAAAAGGCCTTGGCATATAAAAATACCAATTGTTACTACTGCCTTTGTAGTAATAGAATCTTGCCTGAAGCCATTTTCTGTTCCAATAGCGGTGGCGGGGGG